CGAGCGTGGCTTTCTTCGCTCGAGCGAGCTTGTCAAAACAGAGGGGTCGCTCGAGCGTAGAATCCTTCGCTCGAGCGGTCTGTAAAAATGCAAAGTACTGGTTGTTGGAATTTTACGCTCGATGCTCGCTCGAGCGTGAGACACAGCTCTTCGCTCGAGCGTAGGTCTCGTCGCTCAAGCGTGCGTTTGCGTGCACCAAAAACCTGAGAGCTTGCAATTCACGCTCGAGCCACCATTCCTTCGCTCGAGCGGATCTCAGAACAAACGATGGTCGCTCAAGCGAGGAAGCCAAATTCTGGAATTTCCAGGTTTGCCTCCCAAGCTCAAACCAAGTATTCAACAGCTCAAAACTCAACCTCTTGGGCTCATTTTCTGGAAAATACCTCCAAACTCAAAGTATAAGATGTTTCAAAGCTCAATTTGTAAAATCAAAGCCCAAGGGTGAGTCAATTAAACACAAATTCAAATAAAACTCCAAGAATTATATAAAAACATAACATGCATGTGGTCAAGTGAATTTCAATGTTCCAAAACAAGATTTAATGTAAAATTGAGCTCAAAATCATGGTGAATTCATGGACTAAAACAAAAGTATGAACATGCATGTGAAGCTTTTATGAAAACAAACTCAAAATGCAAGAATGTAAACATGCATGTATGATTTAACCCCCAATTCAACATATTAAACCCATTCCTAACTTTAAACACTAAATTACCTATGAACCTTGCAAGAATTACTTGATAGCACAATTAGAAAGGTGAATTACTACCTTAAACCTTCAATTCCAAGTCTAAGAGTTTAATTCTTCCAAGTTGCCTACAATTTCCTTCAAATTCCAAGCTAAACTTGTAGAAGCCAATTCTTCCCTCTCTTTCACTTCTCACCCACGGTTTTGAACTCAAAATGGGCTAAAGAAAATGTTGTAATGAAGCTCCAAACAAGAGTTAACAAAGTGGTCCACTAATGGCACAATTGTAATTAGTCTAGGTTCCATAATTTAACATTATTTAAGCTAATTTAACCATACCAAATCAAATTTAAATTAAATATACCATAAAATCCCATAAATTCTAACTAGCACATAACACTAATCAATTTCGAAATCGGGCGCCGATAAGAATTTTAATTCGCAATTCAAAACTAAAACATGAACAGATATTTCTACGCCTAACAGATAGAAGCACACAAACCATGCAATACTCATGCAAATTAGTTCCAAATCCTTCCTAGATTACTGTTAGACATAATTAAGTGCGAATTAACGTTAATCAGAGGTTGGGGTTATTACAGTCTTCCCCCCTTAAAAGAGTTTGGTCCCCAAACTCAAATTACCTTCGTTCTGAATCAACATTGGGTCTAATGGGAACAAATCCGGATATCTCTTCACCATGTCTTACTCGGTCTCCCAAGTTGCATAGGTTCCTCCGTGGTTTTGCCAATCCACTTTTACCAATGGTATTTCTTTATTCCTCAACTTTTTGATTCTACGGTTTACAATCTGAATAGACATTTCCTCGTAGGTGTAATCATCTTTTGAAAGCACATGTGTCGGTTCGATAACGTGGAGTGGATCCCTCAAATATTCTCGTAGCATCGATACATGAAAGACGTTATGCATATGTTCCATTACTGGAGGTAAGGCTATCCGATATGATACCGGATTGATCTTTTCAAGAACTTCATAGGGCCCAACGTACCTTGGAGCTAATTTACCCTTAACACCAAACCGGGTTTGACCCTTCATCGAGGTCACCTTTATGAACACGTGGTCCCTAACTTTGTATTCCCTCTCTCTTCGTTGAATATCAGCATAGCTCTTCTGCCGACTCTGTACAGTTTTCAGACGCTGCTGTATCAGTTTCACTTTCTCGGTTGTTTCCTGCACAAGTTCCGGTCCCAACAGAGGTCTGTCGCCTACTTCAGCCCAACATATCGGAGAATGACATTTCCTTCCATACAAAGCTTCGTAAGAAGCCATCCCAATGCTTGAATGGTAACTGTTGTTTTACACAAACTCAGCTAATGACAAGTAGGTCTCCTAGTTTCCTTGAAAGTCTAACACGCACATTCTTAGCATATCCTCTAGAGTTTGGTTCGTTTGTTCAGTTTGGCCATCTGTCTGTGGGTGATAGGCACTGTTCAGTCGCAATTTTGTTCCCAAAGCCTGTTGTAAACTCTGTCAAAATCTTGATACAAGCTTTGAGTCCCTGTCAGACACAATAGATACTGGCACTCCATGCAATCTCACAATTTCAGTCATATAGATATTGGCCAATTTATCAACATTATAGATAGTCTTAACAGGCAGAAATGTACAGACTTAGTTAAATGATCAACTATAACCCAGATAGAGTCCATACCTCAAGAAGAACGAGGCAATCCCACAATGAAGTCCATGGTGATGTGCTCCCATTTCCATTCCGGTATTGGGAGTGGCTGTAGTAAATCGGTAGGTCATTAATGTTCAGCTTTAACCTGTTGGCAATGTAAGCATCTAGCTACAAAGTCTGCAATACTCTTTTTCATTCCAGGCCACCAAAAATTCTGTTTCAAATTATGGTACATCTTCGTGTTTCCTAGATGCATAGCAAGCTTACTACTGTGAGCTTCAGTTATAATACGTGTTCTCAAATCACCACAATCGGGTACATAAAGACGGTTCTGAAATTTCAGCACACCATTCACTAACACAAATCCTGGCCTTGGCTTCGAATCAACTTCTTCTATGATCTTTTTCAAGTATTCATCTTCACATTGTTTTTGTTTGATCTCTTCAAGAATAGCAGGTTGAGCAGAAATAACAGTTGACAGTGCAACTTGTTCCAGGTCATTCGGCAATTCATTCCGGTTAGATAACAAGCATGACAAACTTGCACCGGATTTCCGGCTCAAGGCATCTGCTACGGTATTAGCTTTCCCTAAATGGTACAAGATTTGCATATCATAATCCTTGATTAACTTTAACCATCGCCTCTGTCTCATATTCAATTCCTTTTGGGTGAATAAGTATTTCAAGCTCTTATGGTCTGTGTACACCTCGCAAGTTACCCCATACAAATAGTGACGCCATATTTTCAAGGCAAACACCACGGCTGCTAGCTCAAGATCGTGTGTTGGGTAATTCTTTTCATGAGGTCGAAGTTGTCTCGAAGCATAGGCAATCGCCTTTCCATTTTGCATTAGGACACACCCCAAGCCTTTATAGGAAGCATCACTGTACACTTGAAACCCATCAGTACCATTGGGCAAAGTTAAAATTGGTGCAGTCACTAACCAGGTTTTCAACTCTTGGAAAGCTGCCTCTCTTTGTTCATTCCAGTCAAATGGCACATTTTTCTGAGTTAATTGAGTCATTGGCAAAGCAAGCTTAGAAAAGTCTTTCACAAATCTCCGGTAGTAACCTGCAAGTCCCAAAAAGTTTCGGACTTCTGTCATATTTGTAGGTCTAAGCCAATCCACAACAGCTTCAATTTTCTGAGGGTCCACAGAAACACCATCCTTATTGATTACATGACCCAAAAATGCCACACTGTCAAGCCAGAATTCGCACTTAGACAGTTTAGCATACAATTTCTTCTCTCAAAATCTGCAAGGCGGTTCTCAGATGATTCTCATGTTCTTCCCTGTCTTTAGAGTAAATTAGAATATCATCAATAAATACAACAATAAAGTCATCCAGATATGATTTAAACACCCTATTCATAAGATCCATGAAGGCAGCAGGTGCATTGGTCATTCCAAACGGCATTACTAAAAATTCATAATGTCCATATCTAGTTCGGAATGCAGTTTTCTCTATGTCCTCGACTCTAACCTTTAATTGATGATACCCAGACCTGAGGTCAATTTTGGAAAACACTTGGGCACCCTGAAGTTGGTCAAACAAATCATCTATTCGGGGCAGAGGGTATTTGTTCTTGATAGTCACTTTATTCAGTTCTCCGTAATCTATACACAATCTCAAAGACCCATCCTTCTTTTTGATAAACAAGACTGGAGCACCCCAAGGCGAAGTACTCAGACGGATAAAGTTCTTGTCTAACAGTTCCTGAAGTTGGGTTTTCAATTCTTTCAATTCAGAGATAGACATTCTATAGGGAGTCTTGGAAATAGGTTGTGTCCCCGGAAACACTTCAACAGTAAATTCAATTTCTTTATCAACTAAGTCCCCAGGTAAGTCATTCGGAAACACATCGGGAAATTCACAAACAATAGGATTTGTTTCTACAGTAGGACTGTCAGATGGTGTAGTCAGTATGCAACACAGATAACCCCTACATCCTTTCCTAAGCAGTTTTACAGCTTTCATAGCCGAGATTAAGTATGGGGGAGGAACTACCCCATTCCCACTAAAAGTGAATTCAGGCATACCCGGCGGTCTAAACACAACAGTTTTGTTTGCACAGTCAATGGTAGCACAGTATTTAGTCAACCAATCCATCCCCAAAATACAATCAAAATGATAAATGTCCAAGGGTAATAAGTCCACATACAACATCATATCGCCAACCATAACATCACATGCTGGATAAACATGAGTACACATCATAGAATCCCCAGATGGCGTAGACATATATAACACATATGTCATGAGTTCTAATGGCCTAGTCAATTTTCGAGCAAAAGCATGCGACACAAAAGAATGTGTAAAACTAGAATCTATCAGTACACATGCATTTTGAGAACATACAGAAAGTGTACCTGACACCATAGCATAAGTGTTCGGTACATCACCGGGCACTAAGGCAAACACTCAGCCTTGTCTCAAAGGTTCCTTTCCTATATTGGCTGTGACGTTGGTTTTGGCCACAGAAGCGGATCCCGCTGAACTTGCTGCAGGACGGCTAGTAGTCTCAGATCTAAGCGGGCAATCTTTCACTATGTGACCCGGCTAGCTACATCGGAAACAAGCACCGGACGCTCGGTAGCACACACGCCTGTGCCTTTTACCGCAATCAGGACAGACCAGAAGAGACCCACTACTTTGACTAAAGTTGCTTCAAGTCCCTGTATTTTGCTTCTTATTGCCCAAGAACCGGCCTTTCTTAAAACCAAACCCGGGTCTTTTTCCTCTCCACTCATTTGCTGTAGATGCTGGGGTTTTGCTTTGTTTCATGGCGGCTAGGGTAGCCTCTGCCATTAAGGCTTTGTCTAGAACTTCCACATAAGTAGGCAATTTCAGGACGCCTACTCGATCAAACACGTCGAGGTCCAATCCTCCTTCAAACTTTCGGGCTTTCTTATAATCGGTATCCACCATATATGGAGCAAACCGTGCTAATTCAGTGAACTTAGCTTCATACTCTGCCACTGACATTCTTCCCTGTTTGAGTTCCTGAAATTCAAACACTTTTCGATCCCTGAAACATTGGGGAAAGTACTTGTCGTAGAAGATAGTATTAAACTGTGCCCATGTCATATTCCCATTGTTATTTCGGATCAGTAACCACCACCTGCGGGCTTCGTTTTTCAGAGTATAGGTGGCTAACAGGACTTTCTGAGTTTCAGAACAAGGGAACACTTCATATAATTTCTCCATTTCAAGTAACCACGTCTCAGCTTTTAAGGGTTCAATTCCGCCATAGAACGTCGGCGGTTTAATTTTCATGAATTTTTGGGTCAGATTGATAAGGTCATTATTGTCTGTTTCAGCTTGCGCTGGTAGAGGTGGAGGGGGTAAAGGTTGCTGTCTTTGCTGCTGTGTTAAGGTCTCAGTTAATGCTGCTAACATCTGCTCCATTCGGCCCATGCGAGCCTCTGAAGATTCACTTTCATCACTTCCCCATGCATTCTCCATCTTACTATACAGATATCAGATGATATTAAACATAGACATAATCTTGTTCATTTCTTTCAATTTAGTTTTTCAAATGTACATTCAGTTTTCAAGTTCAGTTGTATTACCACACACTCACACATACAGATGGAATGCCCCTAACTTTTACTAGGACATCCTAAGCTCATACGGACCTGTGTGTGCGGTATAACTTGTGCTCTGATACCACTCTATCACGACCCAAACCCGCCCCTGTAGGTTTGGCACCGTAACCGGCCAGTAACCCGTGGATTACCAAAGGCCTCTGAACAAATTAGCAAATAATAAGGGGTTGCAGAAGCAATATACAAAATAAATAAGGTCCAATGAGCTGTGATAGCACATGAGACAGAACTTTTCAAAACTTATTTATATACATAAACATGCTAGTCAGAATACATCAATATTTACAGAGAGTAGTTCCCAAGACCTGACTCACAAAACACACATACAGACTAGCATGAACACAAAGACAACCATATCAATAGGCTTCAAACGGAACCTCATCGAGAGGCGCACCAGTTGGCTGACAAAACAGAACGGAAGGCCGTCAACTCTGGCCTGGGTCATGTGCCGTCTTACTTACAGATATAATATAACTGTGAGCGAAAGCCCAGTGAATAATAAACAGAGTAAAGGGTTTTCAATGAATGAGTTCGCACAGATTTTGGAAATCAATTCATATTGTATCAAATTCATACTTGTTCAGATCGTATACAGACAGAAATCATAAGTCATGATTAAGTTTACGTGATACATCCATTAGCATAACAGAATAGAGCAGAACAGAACAGAACACATAAGCGTAAAGTTATGAATAACCCAGTTCCAAGAAGGAACCTTCGGATCCGGGACAGAACAGAACAGCTAAGCCCCCATGGCGGGCCTCCGGTACGGGTAACAAAGTGCAGACAGATATAAGTTCCATAAAGGAACCTCCGATACCAGGTAACAGCCATAGATATCACATGATACTAAGGATGTCATGAATACATGTCAGAAATTGAACAATCATTCATTGTACAGAACATATCATTGCAGAAAACAGATCTCATCTTGTCATTCAGAAAATAAGTACAGTTGAACATATTTTTACTAAGTTATTACTCACAGTGGGCCTTGAATCAGACAGAAGGAGTCAAAAGGTCAAACAGAATGCGGCACGTGACCTACATAACACATAACAGACACAAACTTAAAACACACGTTCTAATTATACAAAACTTATGTCATTGGTTCTTAGTGTGTTTCTACCCTTTAATCCTCACTATAAAGTCTTAATCATGGCCTAGGAATGCCTAGGATGGAGTGAGGATGCAAAAATACCTTAGAAAATATTTTACAAAACTTGCTGAAAATAGGGGTCTCGCTCGAGCGTGGCTTTCTTCGCTCGAGCGAGCTTGTCAAAACAGAGGGGTCGCTTAAGCATAGAATCCTTTGCTCGAGCGGTCTGTAAAAATGCAAAAGTACTGGTTGTTGGAGTTTTACGCTCGATGCTCGCTCAAGCGTGAGACACAACTCTTCGCTCGAGCGTGCATCTGCGTGCACCAAAAACTTGGGAGCTTGCAATTCACGCTCGAGCCACCATTCCTTCGCTCGAGCGGATCTCAGAACAAACGATGGTCGCTCGAGCGTGGAATCCTTCGCTCGAGCGAGGAAGCCAAATTCTAGAATTTCCAAGTTTGCCTCCCAGGCTCAAACCAAGTATTCAACAACTCAAAACTCAACCTCTTGGGCTCATTTTCTGGAAAATACCTCCAAACTCAAAGTATAAGATGTTTCAAAGCTCAATTTGTAAAATCAAAACCCAGGGGTGAGTCAATTAAACACAAATTCAAATAAAACTCCAAGAATTATATAAAAACATAACATGCATGTGGTCAAGTGAATTTCAATGTTCCAAAACAAGATTTAATGTAAAATTGAGCTCAAAATCATGATGAATTCATGGACTAAAACAAAAGTATGAACATGCATGTGAAGCTTTTATGAAAACAAACTCAAAATGCAAGAATGTAAACATGCATGTATGATCTAACTCCTAATTCAACATATTAAACCCATTCCTAACTTTAAACACTAAATTACCTATGAACCTTGCAAGAATTACTTGATAGCACAATTAGGAAGGTGAATTACTACCTTAAACCTTCAATTCCAAGTCTAGGAGTTTAATTCTTCCAAGTTGCCTACAATTTCCTCCAAATTCCAAGCTAAACTTGTTGAAGCCAATTCTTCCCTCTCTCTCACTTCTCACCCACGGTTTTGAACTCAAAATGGGCTGAAGAAAATGTTGTAATGAAGCTCCAAGCAAGAGTTAACAAAGTGGTCCACTAATGGCACAATTGTAATTAGTCTAGGTTCTATAATTTAACATTATTTAAGCTAATTTAACTATACCAAATCAAATTTAAATTAAATATACCATAAAATCCCATAAATTCTAACTAGCACATAACACTAATCAATTTCGAAATCGGGTGCGGATAAGGCTTTCAATTCACAATTCAAAACTAAAACATGAACAGATATTTCTACGCCTAACAGATAGAAACACATAAACCATGCAATACTCATGCAAATTAGTTCCAAATCCTTCCTAGATTACTGTTAGACATAATTAAGTGCGAATTAACGTTAATTAGAGGTTGGGGTTATTACATATACTTTTTTCAAACGTTACACTCCAATATAACACTTAAAAAACGTGACACTCTAATGTAATACAATAAAAAAATTTAGTCCGCTTTTTTCAAACGTAACACTTCAACCAATGTAACACATAAAACTTCTTACCCAAACGTAATACTCTAATGTAACATACTAAAAAAACTCTTTATTGCTCTTTTTCCAAACATAACACTCTAATCAATTTAATACTAAAAAACTCATTAATATACTTTTTTCAAACGTAATAACGTAACATTCTAAAAAAATTCCTTAGTGTATTTTTCCAAATGTAATATTCCAATCAATGTAGCACGCAAAAACTCCTTAGTGTACTTTTCCTAAACATAACACTCTAATGTAATACACTAAAAAATTCGTTAGTGTATTTTTTTCGAAACGTAACAATGTAATATTCTAAAAAAATTCCTTAGTGTATTTTTTCTAAACGTAACACTCCAATCAATGTAACACACAAAAATTTCATAATGTAATTTTTTCGAATATAATACTTTAATGTAACATTTCAATATAATACTAGAAAATCACACTACGGAAATGTAGATTTTTACGCTCAACAACCAATACTTCAACTGACAATTCCTCGAAAAAGAATCTTCTACACGTCACATTTCTATTATCATTTCAAAAATAAATTAAAAAAATTAAAGAAATAAATCATAAAAAGATATTTACTTAAAGTCAAATAGCACTACATTAAGCCTCCGTTTGGGAAGTGGGTTGGTTTTTTAATTTTTTGGCTTTTTTGGCTATTTTAGTCTGGGCTAAAAAGCTTGGTTTGGGAAGGACTTTTTGGCTTTTTTGACTTTTTTTGTGAGAGAAGAGTGTAATGATTATGGGTTAGATGTGATGTTTTATTTGTTGTGGCTAAAATAACCTATTTTGTTTTTTGTGACTATTTTAACCCCAAATCACTTGCCAAACACATATAACTTTTTATAACAAAAAACAAAACTAATTAATTTATTTAAAAAAAATTTAAAACTAAATGGATTAATATTTCTCCAGATGAAATTTATCGATAAATATTTCTAACTTTTTTTCCTAATTTCAAAAACAAGCCTAAAATAAATTCGATGCCGACCTTAATAAATTCGATATATTGATCCATAAAGGGTATGGCAACCTGAGGCACAGGTGCGTTTCTATTTCCTATAAATCAAGAGAGAAGAGTCAAGAATGGCATACAGACTAAGGCTGAGTAAGGAATCTATGAAATTTGTAATTTGATTTAGTTCAATTCAATTCAGTAGGTTTGGATTGGTTTTTTAAATCCGTAGTTCAGTTCCAGATTGAAAAATTAAAAATCTGTAGTTCACGAATTGGTTCCGGATTGAACCACACGGTTCCGGATTTGAACCGATCCGGACCGTATACAAATAGTCTATATTTTTATTATACACCATTCTCTATAGTATTTTTTCTTATTTCATATAAAACTTAAATCAAATCTAAACTCGCATAGTATTTTCTTTTATTACTTTTGTTTACTAGTTTTAAGTATTAATTTGTAATGTTGCTATTGGAACCAATCCGAACCGTATACAATAGTCTATATTTTTATTATACACCCTCCTCTATGGTATCTTCTCTTATTTCATATAAAACTTAAATCAAACTTAAACTCATATAGTATCTTCTTTTATTATTTTTGTTTACTAGTTTTTAGCGTTAATTTGTAATGGTCTAAATACTTATGGTAGAACCAGTTTTTTTATGATTGTTTAAATTCTAGAACAATATGTCGCTATTATGAAAAGATATGTTTCTATTGTGAAACTAATATGGTGTTATATTTATATTTCTATGAAATTAAAGTGTTATATTAATTTTTTTATTATTGAATTATGTAAATCCGTGGTCCTAAACCAATCCAATTCGTGTTTAAATGGATTGGTTCTACAATTTAAACGGATTTGATTAGTTCCAATTTTTCAGGAACCGTAGATAACGGATTGGTCCTGATTTTATCCCAATCCGGTCCAATCCGAACAATACTCACCCCTAGTGCAGACAGCTGGTCAATGATGACTTGTCCACTCCCACGTGAATGGAAAAATTAACAATAAATCTTGAGACTTTTAATTAGAGGTGTCGTTAGTAACGTGACAGTAAATCCTATTCACAATCATAAAGTGTATTTTTATTTATTTATTTTTATTTTTTTCACACTAACGGTGGATTTAAAGTTCAATATTTAGGGTTGGTTTGGAGTATCTTAAAAAAATATAATTTTTATCTTTTTATAAAAAAATATACAAAAAAATAAAAAAGTAATATAATAAAAAAAATAA